GGGGGGGGGTTCCTGCAGGAGCAAAGCAGGACTGGTCTGACCACGGCAGGACCTGGAATCTCCTCAGTAGCTGCTGGATATCCTGAGGTGCTGATGATATATTGTGATATTGGAATAAATGCCATGACCACGTGGACACGAGCGCTCAGCCACAGTGTGAGCAGCTGCAGTTTTCTGCAGAAATTCTGGTTTTGAGGATGTTTCTTTGTGGCATCAGACAGGAGAAAGCAGGCATGTGTTTCATAAAGTCTGAGTGCTGGTTATCTTCCACAGGAAGCTGTCAGGGAGGGGGGTACAGGCACCCCAGAAGGCTCACACTGGCCTTCTGGGGGCAAAAGAGCTGAGCAGCCCCATTGTCTCCTACACACAGCAAGGACCGAACCAGGCAGAGTTTCCTGTGGGTGGAAACCCAAAAGTGCAGATGCTTTTATGCCACCTGAAAGTGAAAAAGGGGGCAGGCACAGTCTGAAGGGTCTGGGCAGTGTGTCCTCTGCCCCAGCCCCACGCACACGTGCCTGAGGGGAAGCACCCCAGCTCCGCCCTGGAGCCCTCAGATATAAATTAAACCCAGTGACAAGGAGTTTCCCCACTTCTAATTTGGGCAGCCAGCACTGCCAGGCGTGGAATACCAAACAGATGAGTTTTGCCTGCTTTCTGCTTGTTACCCAGCCGAGTTAACCCCACATTTGTGTTTACCTCAACCCCGCCGCCTGGGGCAGTTTCGAGGTTGCGGTGGTGCCTTTGCAAAGCTGGGGCGGGCACGGAGCCCTCCTGTTATTTATGGAGAGGAGGGATGGAAGGGAGAACTGGGGCGGGCACGGAGCCCTCCCGTTATTTATGGAGAGGAGGAATGGAAGGGAGAGCTGCCTGACACATCGCAGCCTGGCCCACGCGTCCCTGTGGTCCTTGTGGCTTTGGGGCTGGGCTGAAGTCAGAGCCTGGCCCCGGCCCCGCCTTTCTCCTCTCTTTAAAGCTTGTTAAAGCAGTCGGTGTCAGTTTGCTGCTCCACTGCTTCCCCTTTGGGCTCCTTGAGGAAGGAGAAGGCGCTTCATGTCTTGGCGTGAGCTCCTTCCCCCCTGGCTGGTGATCGTGGCGGGACTGACGGGCATCGTGCTGCTCTGTGTCTCCACCAAAGATGTGCCCGTGGCCCCTCTCAGGACCAAGGTAAGGGCAGTTAAACTGGGCTGTTGTGTTGCTTTGGACATTCATTTTATTACTGAGCCGTTTACAAACTGAGGGGTGGACTAGAACAAGACTGCAAGGGCAGGTTGGTATCCTTCAACTTGCTGTAGCTTTTTGAACCAAAACCAAACCAACTCCTTTGGTTGGTCTGGGAATACAGGCAGAATATGGTCCACGGATTTGCAGAGATGCTCACGGCAGGCTGAGGGGAGGCAGCTCATGTCTGGAGCTCCCCCAGAGCAGCAAGGGACCAGTGGTGTCAGTGGAGGGAAAGAGGTCAGTCCCTCTTGAAAGTTGGTAGGAATTTGGCTCTGAGCTGCTGCTTCTTTCTCTAAAAACAAATTGTCTTGTATGCTTTCTTCTCTTTGGTCCTATCTTGATTTTAACTGAAGAGCCAACCTGCTCTACACAGCAGGGCTAGGTCTGAGGGGGGGTTAATGCCCACCCTCTCTGCCTCTTGAACACCCATTGCTGAGGTCCAGTGGCACACCATGGTTTAACCCAACAGAAGTAGGTTATCCTGCGTGTTTAGAGATAGCACCCCTCCTCCATGCTCCTGTCAGAAACAAAATTAGACTAAAAACTCCCTCATTGCTCCGCTTTCTGTCCTTCCCTGGTACTGAGTTGGGCAGGGGTGTGGTGATCCCTCCCCTCCTCCCTGGCGCTCCCACAGTAGCCTCTCATTATGTGAAGGAGGAAAAAATAGTCCAAGTTTCTCCACCAATACCATTTGTTCCTTCCTCCTGTGCGGCAGCAGCCGGCACGTCCCTGCCAGGAATGGGAGCTGTCACTGGTGTGGGAGGTGCCAGCAGGCTGGGGCAGGGAGCTCCAGCCTCCTCCCGCATTTCTGCTCCAGCCCAGCCCCACCAGCCCCTGCCCTGGGTGTCTGGTGCAGCCGGAGCTCCCAGGAGAGCAGCAAGCAGCAGCTCTGCCTCCCTCTGAAACCCTTCTGGTGCTGTTAACATCAACCTCTGAGGAGGTTTCTCCTCCCACTCAGTCACAGCTCCAACTATTTGTGTGCAAGATGCAGCTCAGACCAGCACCACCACATATCTCATGAGTTTCCTTCCAGGCTGTGTGGGAGATATCCCAGATTGGGGTCATGTAACAGGGGGAGAGCAGGAGACCTTGGACCAGCACTGGGGCTGTTTGGACTGTGGGGACATCCAGGACAGCTGTGCAGGGACTCCAGTGGCCTCCACTTCCTCACCCTCGTGTCCTGGGAGCAGCTCAGTGAGGCTCAAGCAGCAGCAAACAGCAGACACTGGGGTGCAAAGAGGCAGAGATGCCTCAGCCCCACAGCTGGGCAGGAGCAGAGCTGTCGGGGGACAAGGGGTTGAGAAAGCTCATGGTCACTGCTCTGCTCGTTCTGCCAAGACATTGTCTCTGTGGGGCTGCCACCTCGCACAGTGCCTGTGCTGGTTGGTCCCAGCGTGCTGCAGCTCCCACAGCTCTGCACATGCTGGGGCAAACCCAGCCCATGTCACACCATTGCTGCACTGGGGCGTCAAAGAGACACGGGAGTCTCGGGTTCCTCAGGAGAAACAAGCCACAGCCCTCCAATTCCTGCACAAAAGCCTTAGCAAACCAATCAGCAGCAGTTTGAGCCCTGGATTCAGTGGAGAACCTGTACAGTGCCATCTCCCACTGCTTTAGGACCTGTTTTTCCTGAGCTCCAGGTGGCTGAGCTCTCAGTGGAAGCCCTCTGCCTGGTTTCAGGAACAGCTCCAGAGGGTGCCACTGGAGGCCTGATGTGTTTCTGGGCGTTTCTCCACTCCTGCTGTTCCTCATGTATATTCAGGAATGCAGATGGTTCCCCACAAATCCTCATTATCTCCTGGCTTCACCCTCTCCTTGAATGTAAAAAGTGAACTCAAATTCTGCAGTGCAGGCCCAGGGGTCACCCTGAGTACCCACATAACACTGAGTAACCCTACAATAACAAGGCAGCATGCATTCAGTGGTGTTTACCTGGAATGTTTTGGGGGTTTTCCAGTATGGCATCGTTCTGGATGCTGGCCCGTCCCGCACCATCCTCTTCATCTACCAGTGGACAGCCACCAAGGCAAACAAGACCGGGGTGATCAGGGGATGCAGTTCCTGCCCTGTGCAAGGTGAGGTGCCCAGTTCCTGCTCAGTGGTCTGTGGGACTGGCAGGGGATGGATGGATGGGAAGCCAAAGACCTGTGTTGGACCAGGGCCACAAATTCCTTGGCTCCTTCATCACCCAGCTGTGCACGGAAATAGTGAAGCACAACCTTATTTTCAGCATGGCTCTTCTCCACTGGGCAGGTTTAGCCACACACAGCCGGGCATCAGGCACTTGGCAGGAGCAGGTGACAGGATTTTGGGGCTGCTGCAGGAAGGGAAGCACGCAGAGGGGTTGGGGCTCATCCTGATGTCCACGTGGATCAGTGGCAGAGCCAAGGCAAGGCAGTGAACAGCAATGGACACAGATCTGGCTGCAGGGTGATTCCTGGGACCTTCTGCCTCCTCCTGACTGTGTCCTGGGCAGTAAGTGGTGTAGCCCCAGGACAACAGAAGTGCAAAGGCTCCAACCCCCTATTTGGGGTTTGACAGCACAAGCAGGAGTTCAGCTTGCCTTTAGGTGTCATATTTCAGAGAATATTGGGGTTTTCCTCACCAGTTTGAATCAGTTTGACCCTGCCAATGCCAGCTGAAAGGGTTCCATGCATTAATGCTTGTGGTTTTCCTTCCCTATCTCTCAATCTTGCTTTGATGTCAAAGCCTGATTATAGCGGGATGCTGGGAAGGACTGAACCCTCAGTGTGCTGTGGGAGGGCAGCAAGCAACACAAACCACCCACAGAAGATGCAATAAGGGCTCCCTGAAACCTTGTGTGTATCCCTTGACTGCTGCCATGTTCATGGCTGGGCTAAAAGCAGCAGCTGTAGCTCTGGGACGCAGTTTGTCCTCAGCAGCAGCAACAAGAGGCCCAGGCAGGGCTCTTGCCCAGGTGTGAGGAGTCCTGTGTGCATGGCAGCACAGTCACAGCCTTGCAGGAGCTGTAGGAAAGCTGCAGCTCGGCCCTACAAGGGGCCCAGGGGAGCAGAGCACGTGGTGAGGAGTCACAGCCAGGAGGATGAGAATGGGGAAGTGAGGATCTTCCTGGGTAGCAGTTCAAAACCAGTATTTAAGACCCCATTGACTTGCTGGAAAAATGAGTCAAGGCTGGCACACAACACCTCTGCAGAGCACCAGCTTCCTCTGGAGCAGGGGTGCCTTGCAGGCAGGGGCTCAGGAGCCACCTCTGCCAACACAAGGGGAAGTGGCTGGAGGCGAAAGGTGACACATCAGCCTCAGCTCTGTCTCCGTGACAATGTGTCCTTTTGCTTATTTTTATAGCAGCTAAAGCCACATTTCTTCCTCTGTGGGCTGAGAAAGCCTCAGCTGTTGCAGCAGTCATGTGGATATCTGAGCAGCAGAGCCGAGGTTCTGTTAGTGCAGTTTGGGATTTATATGCACATGTTTTGCTCCCAGTACCATATCTTAGCAGGGTGGATACCTGGAGGAGCTCCTTCATTCCACCTGTGACAGGTCCTGCCTTTAACCATGCCCTAGGACAATGATCTCTGGGGTAACAGTTCTCACAGTTCTCCCATAACTTTCCCTAAAATTTCATTCTGTCCCCTGGTTCTCAGGTCTGGGAGTCTCCAACTACTCAGATTCTCCTCAGAAAGCAGGGAAGAGCTTGGAGCCATGTTTGAACTGGGCCCAGAAGGAGATCCCAGCAGAGCAGCACAGCCAAACCCCGCTGTACGTGGGAGCCACCACCAGCACGAGGCACCTGAAGTGAGTGAATGTTGCAAACCCACACCCAGAGATCATCACACGGATCATTCTGTGCATGCACCTCACCCTGTCTGCTCTGCAGTGTGTTCCACCCTGATCTGCTGATCAGCTAAACCTCCCTCAGGCCCAGATGTCCTTGAGAGGAATATCATGGCTGTGGCTCCATCCTGTCCCCCCAGCAGCCATGGGCACCACAGTGCTGCCCCTGCTGCCAGTCTGTGCTGTGTTTCCTTCCCAGTTACAGTTTCACAATTACTGTTTGGGAAAACATCTGTCAGTCTGGAAGCTCAAATGTTTTCAGCTTATGTGACAACACACATGGACTTGCAGGGGTGCTTCTTGTCAAAAAATTGGGAATGGCAGCAGGAAGATCCATCTTATCATACACACACTTTTGTGGAAACTCTTCTGAGTCCCCTCATTACCAGGGCTTTTTTCCCTTTTAGACACTGGGGAAAAGTAAGGTCTGGAGGGGACCAGGTCAGTGGGGTGAGGCCAGAGGATTTCCTTGGTGGCAGAGGGTACTGAAGTCCTAAATTCTTGAATGGTGCCACAACTGCTCCAATCATCCCTGTGCTGTTCTTGCCCCCAGTGCCACGTGAGGGGAGAGGGAAGCAGCAGCAGGAGTGGGATTGTTGTTGTGTCTCTGTGCTACAGCCCAAAGTGGGGTGCACAGCAGGAGCCCTGCAGGGTCCTGTAACAACAAATATGTCCTTTTTTTGTCTTCTTTTTAGCCTCGCCCATCCCACCCTCTCTGATGATCTCCTTGCATCCCTGACTGTGGCCCTGAAGTCATCCCCCTTCAGCTTTCAGGGGGCACAGATCCTGTCCAGCCCAGATGAGGAAGCATTCAACTGGGTTGCTGTGAACTATGTCCTGGAGAACTTCTTCAAGGTAAAGGACGATTCTCCCTGGGGCTGAGCAAATCCTACTAACAGACAGCTACAGAGACGTGGAGGGATTGGTAAAACCTTGTAGTTTAAGCAGTGGTTGAGCACAAGTTCCACTGCCTTTCAGAGGATGCAGGTTGGATCAAATGCCAGCCTCATGAGAGTTGGTGGTGAGGCCCTGGCCCAGGTTGCCCAGAGAAGCTGTGGCTGCCCCTGGATCCCTGGAAGTGTCCAAGGCCAGGTTGGACGGGGCTTGGAACAACCTGGGCTGGTGGAAGGTGTCCCTGCCCATGGCAGGGGGTGGAAGGGGATGAGCTCTAAGATCCCTTCCAACCCAAACCATTCTGTGATTCTATGGTTATAACTAGTTTGAAGGACCAAACCTCTCCTATAGCCTTTCATGAACACACCCATGCAGTTGCCCTGACACACATGAGGCTTTCTGGACAACGTTCAGGGTGCTCACGTGAGTGACTGCAGGAGATGAAACCACAGGGTTCTTCTTACAGAAGGATCACTTTAGCACCAAGGCAGCACTTGAAGCCCATATCTGCCCACTTGGAAACATCCCTGCCATTCCCTCTCTCCCCTCCTCCTGCCTGCTGAGACCACTGCCTTGAGCAGCCCCCCCAGGCTGGTGAGCCCTGTTTGCCCCCACGGGCTGTGGGAAGGTCTCTGTGCAGGTGGCAGTGCCTGTACAATGACTCCTCTATTCCTTCCAAACCCATCCATGGGCTTTTGTCCTGTTGGCAAAAAGAGTTGGGCTGTGCTGCACCACCAAGCTGCTTTGTCCCTCTGTGCACTGTTTGCACCTGACTGTGACCCAGATGGAGAATTCTCAAGGATTGACCTCTCTGGTTCTTTCTGGTCAGTACGACTGGCGAGGGCAGCTGGTGCCCTCCGGGAAGGGGATGGCAGGAGTCCTGTCCATGGGAGGAACCTCAGCACGGCTCACATCCCAGCTGGAAGAGGAGAACCAGGTCCCAAAGGAGGGAGTGAGGCTGCAGCTGTATGGGCAGATGCACAGGGTGTACACTCATCAGTGCCCCTGCCATGGCACCGACCAGCTCCACAGGAGGCTGCTCTCCCTGCTCATCCAGGTGAGTTCTGCCACAGGACACGAGCAAAGTCCCTGGATACCCTAAATCACAGCTGCACAAGGTGTAGCTTCTAATGGGCAAAATGCCCCTAATGGAGGCCATTTGCACATATCTATAGAGAGCCCGGTGCATTCGTAAAATGTACCCTCTATGCCCAAATCAGTGCCCTCCAAGCAGACACACAGGCACCCATTCTAGAGTTTGCCACTTGCAGGCTCTACTTGGCCTCCTACTTAATACACACAAGCACAAAATTGCTCTCCAGAGGTGCCAACATCCTTTTCAGGGTGACAAGAAGCCAGGGCTTCCCTTGCCTTCTATGAACTGCTCCTCCATCCTAGAATGAGAACCAACCAACCCAGGAACCAACTGGGACCTTTCATTTGGGGTAATCCCTTTGCTGGCTTTTAACCCTGAAGCATCTTTAACAGGGCAATATTTCATTTTGAAAACATGCAGGTGTTTTGGTTCTTCCAAACATTATTTCATTTGGGGAACGGTGGGAGTGGGATAGGATCTGATACAAACTCAGAAATCACTTTAGTCTGCATAAAAAACCTAATTTTTCAGAAATTAACTCCTCCCTGCCCCTGCACTTGCCTCTCTTCAAACCCTACCTGCCCTTGTTTGAGACCTGAATGTCCCTCATGGAGGCCAAGTTCACCACGGTTACAGTGGGGAATTACTAGAGATAAGAAACACTGATTCTTGAGGGGTTGAGCCCTTGGAAAGCAGACCTGAACAGCCTCTTTCTTGCAACTAGAAAGAGTACAGGATGCATGAAACTGTATTTCTGGTCTAGGGGAGGGCAGGCAGGGCTGGGACTCCTCAGCCCCCCGCAGCAGGTCCAGCCCCTGTGGCTGCCCCGGCCCCAGCAGGAGCTGTGAGAGGGCTGCAGCAGCCTGGGCCTTGTGGTTCACTCAGTGACATAAGATTTGGCCACCCTTTCACAGCCTCCTGCTCCACTTCAACATTGTGGTGGCCAGAGGAAATCTGTCCTGCTCTGTGGTAACATTCTGGCTCCCTGTGTGAAACCCTGGGATGCCATGTCATCCCTTGCTGTCCTTGTTTTATTCTGCCTCCAGGAGCAGAGAAGTGCTAAAACTATGTCTAATCCCTGCTGGCCCCTCTTCTACTCCCGGGAAGTGCAGTGGCAGTCAGTGCATGCTGGGCCTTGTGCTGTCAGTGGTGACACATGGGACACCCCTGGCCCCAAGGAGGTCTTCAACATCACGGGCTCCAGCAATCCCACCGCCTGCATGAGACTTGTGCAAAGGCTGCTCAACTCCTCCTCTTCCTGCAGCTTCTCCAAGCATTCCCTCAGCAGTGTTCTCCAGCCCCTCCGGACCAGGTTTCTGGTGAGTTCTCATTTACACTGGGGCAGACAGCTGGCACAGAGAATCCATGGAATGGGACCAGTTTGACCATTAATAAATACAGTGGGAACAGCCACACCGGGGCACTCCTGCCCTCTCCCCCTCATTGTCACACAGCTGTTCTTCATGGATCCCTGGCTTCCCACCAGTGACTGTTGTGGAGCTCCTGTGACCAACTTTGGTGTCCACAGAGCCAGCAGGGATGGGAGAGCCAGGAGCTGTGTGCTAAGCAGGTCTTCCCACACCAAGTCCATGGTAAAGCTGAAGATCCTCTGCCACTCCCTCAGCAAACATCAGGGCATGCTTCACCACCAGCATGTTTCTATCTGAGAACCTGGATCTAGTGTCCAAAGGCATTGGATTGTTGAGCCAAGAGCAGCTAAAGATCCCGGGAAAAACTAAGTGCATTTCAAAGAAGGTAATTCTGGGAATTTCCCCAGCTCCCTGTTCCTGAGTCTCCCATGGACATGGTGCTGAGGAACACAAGGATCTGGTGAGGCCACACCTGGAATACTGGGTTCAGTTTTGGGCCTCTCACTACAAGACAGACAACAGACATTGAAGTGCTGGAGCATGTGCAGGGAAGGGAATGGAGCTGGGAAGGGGCTGGAGCAGCAGGAGCAGCTGAGGGAGCTGGGGGGGCTCAGCCCGGAGAAAAGGAGGCTCAGGGGGGACCTTCTCACTCTCTGCAACCCCCTGACAGGAGGGGGGAGCTGGGGCAGGGGGGGGTCAGGCTCAGGGAACAAGGGACAGGATGAGAGGAAACAGCCTCAGGCTGTGCCAGGGAAAGATTTAGGTTGGATATTAGGAAACATTTTTTCACCAGAAGGATGGTCAGGCACTGAAACAGGCTGCCCAGGGCAGTGGTGGAGTCACCATCCCTGGAGGGATTTAAAAGACATGTAGATGTGGCACCTGGGGACATGGGTTAGTGGTGGCCTTGTCAGTGCTGGGGGAATGGTTGGACTTGATTTCACACATCTTCTCCAATCTAAATGATTTTATGATTCTGTGACTAGTCTACTTATCCATACAGGGCCAGGAAGGCTTCTGCATGTGGAACAGACATGTTTCCATCTCCAGACAGTAACAGATCTTATCTTCCTTGCACCCATCCGAGGCCCTGACACCACCACCACAGCACACACAGGGCACCCTGGCACTGCACTGCCCCTCCCTTTCCTGTGGGCACAGAGTGCAATGCAGGAACACAGAGCACAGTCCCACCTGATGGTTATTTCTGCCGCTGTTGTAGGTGATTTCTGAGGCCATGGACTTCATGAGAGAAACTGTTCCCTCTCCTGACTTGGGCCAGGCTGTCAGGAGGCTGTGTGGGATGTCCCTCAAAGAGGTAACTGTGGAATAACTTCGTGTGCAGGGAGAGTGGGAAGAAACAGCCTGTTGTAAAAGCCAACAGAGCTCAGACTTATAGAGCTGTAACTTATAGGCTCCCTTAGGGAAAAACTTGGATTTGCTTGATTTTTGTGGGGTCTGGGTTTTCTGGGGGGGGTTGTGTTTAGTTTTTTGGGGTTTCAGTTTGGTTTTTTTTTCACTTTGAGAAAACAGGCTCCACTTATTTTCCTTCCTCCCAAATCCCAGCTGCTGCTGGTAACACCTGGACTTAATTAAATGAAAAGCCACAAATACCTTTTACTCCATTTTAAGGAGTAAACAGGAAGGCTGTTGATTCTCTCTTGTATATCACCTGGTCTTCCTGTTATCCTCCTCTCCTAAAGTCTCCACTCACACTCCAAGGATGCTCCCATTTCACCTGAGCCCAAGGAGAACAAGCCAGGGGGAATTTGCCAGTCCTTTCCCTCAGCTGGTGGTTTTGAGGTCACCCCCATTTGCACTGACACTGACTGAGCATCCACAGTAACATCTGAATGAGACAATTCCTACAGGGTTTGCTGATAAGGCAGCAAAGCCCATAAGCAGTTCCCAAAATCATTCTCTTGTGGATGGAGGAAATGCTGTTCCTGCTGAGAGAAAGGCTGCAGCATTAGCTCAGTCTAATTAAAGAGCAGGGAATCACACCAAACAAGCCACCAGCAAGGCCAGTGGGAGACCTGGCTGCCAGTCCTGCTGCTCTTGGATCTGCCTGGCTTAATAAGATGGGAACAAAGGCACTGAGAGCTGACACTGCTTCCCAGATCACAGCCCACTGGGTGCTGGAAATGGCTTTCAGTCTGCACAGGACACAAACCCCTCCTCCACTCCCAGAGCAGGAAAGGAGAGGTTATAGTTGGCCTGAAATTCACCCATTGAATACTTCTTTAATTTTTTCCCCCATCTTTTTTTTTTTTTTTTGGAAATGGCACCAGCTGGTTAGGGAGTCCCAAGCAAGCCAGGATACACTTGCTGAGTACTGTGCTGTGTCTGCCTTCATCTTCCATCTCAGTACAAAGGGGTACACACTCGACGTTGACCGGCCTGCTTGGACTGCGTTCCAGAAGAAGGTCAGTCACCAGGGAGGGCTGGTTCCACACTCACAAGCCCTGACCAGCTGGGCTTCTCCAGCAGGATGGTTTTGCAAAGTGGATTCACAGTTGTGATAAAGAAGAAAACCAGTGTCACAGAGCTAGAGGTGACACTTGTCCCCGCTGAAAAACAGACCTTATCTGGAGCAATACTGTCTTTAGGAGTCTGGGACAGGGAAGGAAGTGCAGCTTGATCTCCACTCAATGCTGAAGGCAAACTGCTGATAACATTTCTTGAGCCAAAAGATGCCGCCCTACCTCTTTGTAACCCTTTCACCCTTTTCACTAGTGAGGGTTTATAAATGCCTTATAATCACAGAATCCCAGACTGGTTTGGGTTGGAAGGAACCTTAAAGCTTATCTGGTTCTACCCCCCTGCCATGGGCAGGGACACCTTCCACTAGCCCAGGTTGCTCCAAGCCCCGTCCAACCTGGCCTTGGACACTTCCAGGGATCCAGGGGCAGCCACAGCTTCTCTGGGCAACCTGTGCCAGGGCCTCTCCACCCTCACAGGGGAGAATTTCTTCCTCATATCTAATAATTTAATCTAATATCTAATAATTTAATCTAATATCTAATAAGGTCTGAAATTGTTTCAGGATCTGGAGCTCCTATGGAAAGGGGGATTTGATTCAGGTCCTTCCCTTACACAAAGGAAAAGAAATTCTTTTCCTAGACCTCTTCCCAGCTCCCCACAAAGCCAGGGTACCACTGAGCAGGGCTGCGGTTCAGTCAGCCACAAGGTGACCATCAAAGAAAGGGAAGGTAAAGAGGCAGGACCAGGGCCCCCCAGGGAGCCCAGCCTGGAGAGCCAGAGACAAGCAACCTACAACAAAGGTCTGAGAGAGAACTGCTCACAATGCAGACCTGAGATCCACCTGGGAAAACCAGTCAGGGAGCAGGAACAGCACACACCTACAGCACAGCTCAGGAAACAGGTGGCTGCCCAGGTCAGAGCTTAAATGGAGCTCCCGTGCCCATGGGCAGAGGTGTGGGTGGAAGTGCCAGGTGAGGCTGGTTGGGGCCAGTAAGGCCCATTGGTGCACTCAGGGCACTGAGAGTGGGAGAGCTCTTCATTCCAAGCCCAGTCCTTGGACCAGTCTCAGATAAGGCATATGAGGCTTTTGGCCCGTGCACAAAAGCACAGCTGGGGTCAAGATTGTCTCCTTCTCTTCTGACATCTCCTCCTTTTTATTTCAATAGATGGGTGACAGATCATCTGGCTGGACTCTTGGGTACCTGCTGAGCCTGACCAACACCATCCCCCAGGACAGCCCAAGCATCCTCAAGGGGATTGAACCAGGGGTGTGGTCGCTGCTCCTGATCCTCTTCGTGGTGCTGCTCACTGGCTCGTTCATGCGCATCTCGTACCGGGTGATGGCCAAGGAGAACACCCTCAGCAACAGGAACAGCAGCGTTTTTGATGACAACTGACACTTCTGTGGCTCTCAAGACTCTTGCCAGAGCACAGTCAACAGGGTCCAGACAGAAACCACAGAGGTGTAAGTCACTGGAGGATGGAAGTGATTTCCCTGCAGGACTCCCAGAACCTTGATGCCTTATTTCAACTTGCTGGCACTTGCACTACTGTACTTTGAGACAATGGATCCTGCTCCACAGGAAACCTGGGATTCCCAGTGGATGGCAAGCTATTCATCCTCCAAACAAGAACAGCCTGCATGGCTCTTCCTTGGGCTACAGCTGGGATCGCTCATGTCAGGCACGAGGCGATGCCTCTGAGCAGGCAGGCCCTGAGCTATTGTGGAGTGAGTACTGAATAATCCTGTCAAATCAGGAGAGCTGGTGTCTGACAAAGAGTGCTCTGTCTTCTCCTCAAGAGATGATACCTGTAGTATTGCCACTAGTGAAGACTGGAAGAGCACTAAGATATAGTCAGAATGTAACAGCCAACTTGCTTCCATGTTCTAGGGAAAGTGCAGGTATTTCCTGCCTGCCACTGCTGACCTGCCTGTGCTTCCATTTCAGTGACAGTATCCAGTGAATGCTCATTCAAAACCAATGCTCTTTAATCTTGGTCTCTACAGAGCATCAAAGGAGAAACAAAGGGCACAGACACACACAGCTGAGTTTTTGTCTCTCAGCTGAGTCATGGCAACCCAGGGTTAAAATTGCCAATTTAAACTCTTTAACCAGGACTTCAATGAACATTTAATTTCACCTCTGCTAAAACTGGGCTCACGCTGGGCTGAAGTTCACTTGTTTGTTTATTTGCACTGACCTGCTTATCTCGCTGACTGTGCAAGTGACTCATCCAACGTTGTCCTTTAGACCAGAGCAGACCCAGGAACAGAAGCTTTCCTGATTGTCAGAACACTGACTTTCATATTAGACCATGACCAGAGTTACTGCATAATCCAATAGTCAGGACTCCTCAGGGACTTGGCACTCATTCTGGCTCCTCTGGCCTGCTCTGCTTGTCTAAAAGATGAGGTGCTGTACAAACTCTCTGTGTTACTGTGAAGAAAAGGGATTGATTCAGTCAAACACTGTCCTTTGACTGAGGCATTTAGAGTTCACTTCTCAATTGCTTCAGAGACTTAAAACACACAGGCTGATAAAAGCCTCAGGGATAAGTGTCTCCAGTGCATTTCAGGCCACTTTAAACAGAAATGTAGATGCTCACACATGCAGTGATGTGCCTTGCAGGATTTTTAAAGCTACCATGGCACCTAAATCCTTTCAAATCTGATTATTTGCCACTTCTGCTCCCAACTGATACACAGGACACACACACACAGAAATACTGAGGTATCCAATTAACAAAGGTTTGGAACCCGTCAGTCAAGTTTGGAGGGGTGTGGAAACAGACTTAAACAAGCTTCATATTCATTTCTTTGAGTTGCACGTTAGATATTTTTAATTATATCATGTTATTAAAGATGTTTTAATAGACTGTCTGTGTTATTCTTGGCAAGGGATCAAAGCAGGGGGGTTATTGTGAACACAGAGTGTTTCAGTGAGCAGGATGGGGGGTGCTGATTTGGCCTGTTTACTCCAGAGCTGTTTTGCTGTGTTTTGCTGTACTTTGGGGCTACAATGGGAACACCTGAAGGCACAGTGAAAGAAAATTATTTCAGATAACCTGGCTGCTGGTATTTAGTTGGTGGGAGATGTGCCTACACCTTCTGATGTGTTCTTTGCTCAAACCTTCTGAAGAATGTAGGAAGGATCTAGGCAAGCCTGGGTAGAGAGAAAAAAGAGGTTATCATGGAGTCAGTGATAGCAGGGAAATTCCTGAGACTTCATTCATCCCACACCTGGAAATGCAATCACTAAACAGAGCTCTGGCTCTGTGACCTGTCAGCACAGAGGTGAGCTCTGGGATTCCTGGCTGACATTTGGAACCTGCCCAAGAATAATCCTACCACTGTCAGACATGGAAACAAGCCAGTGAGATGCCAGGAGCCCCAGGTGCTCTGGCCTGTCAGTCATTGCACCTTCTTCATTTTGAATAGATCACAGGGTCCAAGAGAAACACAACAACGGCTGGAACTTCCCCGAGCTCTTGTTTAGAAGCTCTGGGACTTCCATGCAGATAATAAGTGAGCAATCAGGCAAGGAGCTCAGCATGGCCTCCTGACTCTTCACTTTTGCCTTGCACGTGCCACTGAGCTGTGCCTGTGAAACCCCTGGCACTGCCATGAGAAAACAACCCACAACCCCTTGAGATTCTTTTCCTGCCAGATAAAAACATTTAGAGATGTATTTACTATGTGATAAAATAGATTAGGATTTTAAAACTGCAGTGTGGTTTTAGTTATAAAAAAAAAGGCAAAAAAAATAACAAAATGGGGAATCTATGAGAAGAATGGAAAATATTCAAAGTAAGATATTCCTTTCTCCCAGCTCTCTGTAGAGCAGCTCCTTCCTGTCAGCACTATGTAAATTTGCAGAATTAATCCCTAGATTACACGGAACTTAAAAGGAGGTTCTAGATGAAATAACTCACTTTGAAACAAAGATGCTTGCAGGCCTTTGGTTAGAATTCAACTGTGGAAATGATAAATAATGAGGATTTTCTATCTGTCCATAAGTTCTTTATGTTTATACACAAGTCCCTTGCTTCTCACTCAGGCTGAACCCTGGGAGAGATCTTCTGGCAGATAATTTCTGCTCATGTGCAACTGCAGTTCTGCTGCTCTCAGCAACTGTCAGTAAGAAGGAAATCAAAGGTATTAGATACAAAAATTGACACCAGAAAGCTCTTTATTTTAGCTCCAGACACACAACAGGTTGGCTGGCCTGGCTATTGGGGCCTAAATGTCATTTAGGCATGTTTGTAGGAATACATTTGCTCCTGTTTTTCTATACCATTCCCAAAGCACCATGGATTCTCAACCAGCACATCCCATCTGGGTTGTACCAATGAATTCCCATGAAAACTGAGAGAAATAACAGTTGGTTGCCTGCAGTCCCACTCTGCTGTACCAAGTTCATCCCAACAGGATCTGAGTTGTTTCTTTCTTCCAGGAGAGACCCAGCCCTTGAAATCCACAACCACTTAGAAGGGTAAATCCAGCAGCAGATGAGAAGAATGCCTTTTAGGATGGCTGGAATTAGTATCAGTATATTTTCATGTTGTTCTTATACCGTGTTTATGATCACATATCTGAGTATCTTTCCAGAGAAATAGGAAGCCATATGATGTTTATATCCTACCTCATGGACTGTCACTCCTACTTGAGGAGCTAATTCTGAACACACTGAAGAGGAACAAGCCTGAAGAAATACTGGGATCAGCAAACCTGCGATTTTTGCCACAGCTTTCTTCACATAAAAGTCCTCTCACACAGCCATCAAACCCAGGCAAGTCACAGTGCTTTGATGTTCTGTAGGTGCAGAAATCACTGTGTGTTTGTACAGCAGTGACCAGGTTTCCACCATGCCCTCGATGTGAGGTGCTCACAGCCTTCCTGCAGTCAGAGGCTGTCAGATGAACACAGAACACAAACTGCTGCTCCCGGAGTTGTGTGCAATGCCAGCGATCAGTCAGGAGAGGGAGGCTGCCAGGGCAGCCTTAGGAAATCTCCAACACAGCCAGGAGCTGCTCCCACCACAAATCACATCATTTAGCAAGCAGGCATTTCTGGGAACGTGTCAAGCAGACTCCTGATGTGGATGCAGGGGAAAGACACTGCAGTAGGAAGCTCTCTCTATGTGTGGGATGTGAAAGCAGCTCTAACCAGTGATTTAAGGAGCTGTGGCATTGGAAGAATTCCCCTGTGCAGGGAGACAGGCACTTGCATGGAGTAGGGATGAAGGCTCTTTTGGAAATAAGGGGGAGAAATAACAATTCCTCCAGGAAGAGGACTGGCCTGGGAATGAAGAGGAGGCTTGAGAGAGACAGAGCAATGATAAAATCAACTTTTGTGTGAAGGAAAGCTTATTTTTGTTCACAGCAGGGGTGTCACCATATGTGCACCTCATGATCGAGTTAGTCACCACTTCTTGGTGGAAATTCTCAGGAGAAACAGATTTTCCAAATGAAAGAAGGCGACAGTTTTGGGGCTTATCAGTGGACAATGAACAGCAGCAGAGCTGTGGAACCTCCACGGGAACAACGTTCAAAGTTCACTGGTTTTGAACATCAAGGATGTGCAAATGCAAAATCAATGCTGAACTTTAAACCACTCAAAATCTGGTTTAACTTTACCTTCTGTCTCACAGTATCACTGACAATATTAAACACTCCTGGAGTGCAAGCTTTGAAGGGACAGGCTCACAGCCTTCTGAGCAGAGGAGCTCAGTGGAAACCATCAAACCAAATGGAAGGAGCTCTTCTTCCACAGAGCTCATGGTTAAACCTCATCAGGACAGGAGGTTGTTTATGCCAAAAGTTTACAGGGCTGCAAAAGGTGATTAGATAAATTCATAATAACCCATTAGGGCTATTAAACAAAAAGTTACTTGCTTGTGGCTAAAGAATTGGCTGAACCACCTGCCACATCCAGATCTGCTTGCTCTGTTCTTTGGTAACTGCTGCAGATCATGAGAGACAAGATGCTGGCCTGGGTGGGCCTGTGGCTTGATCCCATCCAGCCCTTCTGATTTCTCTCAAGCAGGAATCCCACAACTGCACTCCTCACTCACCAGCCTCTGGAAGCAGCCCCTCACTTCAAGGAACTTTGGTCTCTCAGCAGCATAATTTCTAAAAAATTGTTACTTCTAAAAAATCCTTAGAAGTAACAATCAGAAACACTAGAATGAGAAAACATCTGCACATACCCACGTCCCACTTCAGCACTACCATAAACCTGGAATGACCCCAACACCAGCAGCTCCCACACCCTCGTCCTGCAGTGTCCCTGCCTGGAACTCAGGGCCTCATGATTTTACCTACAGAACCAGAATTAGTTCTGTGATTTCTGTTCGGGCTCCTGCAAGCCCAGATACAGGCTCACCTCAGACTAGATGCTGTTTCAGACACAGACTTCTGTCTTGCTGGTTAAGCACCAAGAGCAGACTGACAGCTGCTGCCTGCCTGCCTGCTGAGGGGAGGGATCAGCTCAGTACTCACTCAGAGAACACTGGTTCAGCAAAAAGGAAGGTAACACTCAAAAGTTAAAGGAAAGTCCCTCCCCACTCCCCTCAAACCAGTTGTATTTACAGTAAAATCTGTTTCCAAGAAAAAAGTAGTAAAAATAGTTACAAAACCAAACAAAACAATTACAATAAAAAGTAAAAAAACCCTCGGTGAAACAGAAAGGCAAGTTCCAAGTCAGCTTTAACTTCATTATCATGGTTTTTTTTTCTATGGGTAATACCCAGAGTCTTTGGCCTCATAACAGTGGCCCCTGATGTTTTCTAGTACCCTGTTACAGCATTAATTGATGCAGCAAACTTCAGCTGGGAAGTGTAGAAGCCCCTAAATGAGGTGAAACCTCCTTGCTCGTTGCTCGCAGCAGTTTGAGGAGAGCTTTCAAAGAAATCAAATACCAGCTAAGACAGATGTCTTCAGTGGAAACACGATGTGGGAACCACCTTGGTCCAGCTATTCCCATCTCTGCCCTCCCAGTTGCTTTCCAACATTCCCCACTCCACCGAGCTGCAGCCTCTCCACCAAACCAGCGACCATTACAAACACACTTCAGCATTTGGCTCAGGCAGGACCTTGGAATGTGCAACTCTTTCTCCCAGAATGTGCCCAGTGCTCAGTATTTCATACAGAGGTTTGCCCTGGGAGGAATGCTTCATGTGAGCCAAAGTTCTGGCACAGACCTGCTGTGGCACTTGCCAGCTCACCTTCTGGCACGCACTAATTAGTGGTGCCACGGCGTTAGAAGTCACAGGGCTGAGATGGTCGGCAGCTCCAGCAGCTCTCCATGGAGATTCCTGGCTCAGACTCCTGTGTTCCTTCTCACAGAGAGCTTAAAAGTACGGGCATTTTTTTTAAAACGCAAAAATATTTAAGATAGAATTGTCATTTCCTGTGGATGTGCACGTAGCTAAGAACAGAAGTACTCACTGGCTGGGCTAGAATTAGCAAAAATAAATGTTGCACAAATAATTGGAAATGTCTCCTATCCCACAGATATTCAGGTGGCTGAATCTCCCAGGGAAACCTCTGCAAGCTCAGAATTTAACCACCCACAGGGTCCTACCCCTGCTCTGCAGGAGGGATCCTGCTGGTGTTCCAGAGACAGGTATTGGAGCCTTAACTGAGCAGAGCGTTCCCACTCTCACACTGCCTCTGGGAATGCTTGGGGTGGCAAACATTGCTCACTCCACACATTACAGAGCAGCTTCCCAAACATGAAAGGCAGCACTGGCTGAGGCACAGGCTGTGGGAAGCACAAAGGCTCAGGATTGCTAAGGAAGTGAGGAAATGGATGGCACTGACGTGCAGGCCTTTGCTTTCTGGCCCTGGCTGAAAAAAAACCCAACTGTATCTGCATTAAATCCAGCAGCACCTGTACCAGGAAACATCATCCGAGCCCTGCAGTGGATCCCCTGCTCCATTTTAGGGAGGGTTTTCCAGGGCTTCCTGAGTGCACACGTTTGTGAACGCTGTGCTGAGCACACCTGATGAGAATTGATGCTGAATGTACTTTCCTGGAGAGCATGACACATGCAAGGCATTCTACATTCCCTGCCTTAAACAGAAAGAAGACTGTATTCCTTTTGTGCATTGCTCTGAAGAGATGGCATCACATCCTGGAGGAAAAGCTGTCTTTACTGATTAGTACAGCCTTGTATGAAATCTTGAGCAAGTCCTGCCCAGATTTATCCTGGCTGCCTCTGATACTTAAATGATGCTGCAGTTTTTGGAATTGGTCACATCAAACACCATTACAGAGAACAGAAATGTGTTGTCAGTGGTGCTGAGCTGGGGTGGGCCAAGGCAACACTTTTCACTGATTCCAGTGTGAACACAGCCCAGAGTTTGCTATTCAATCAATGACTGTAATTAGTGGATACATCTGGACCCTAATGGCTCTGCATTACTCAGCTATCTCAAAGAAAACTGCATAAACCTCCTGCATTCCGGTTTCAGACGTGAAGGATGAGCTCTGTGTGTCTCCCTGGGCACCTCTGAGGCAGACACAGGTCTGTCCCAGGATCCTCTCAGGTTCCCGATGCTCTGGGGCTCCTCCCAGGGTCTCTGGGGCTGCTCCAAGAGTTCCTGGACTCCTTCCAGCACCTCTGTGGGAATATGATGTTTATATGCCAGAAATATCGATCACCATAACCTTTATATTAAGCCAACTACCAGGGGCTACTCAACCTCCACAGGGCTGTTCTTCTCCAGCCACCTCCTTGCCTGATGCAGGCACAGGATTGGATTATTGTTATCCAGGCACAGATCCCAGGATATGTGTACAAGGAACAACATCTCTGTGTGTCACATGAACGCCTGAGTGACACAGAGCTGGCCTGGTGTGCTCTGTGTGTCGGCAGGATTGAGGTCACTGCTGCCTTTGCCTCAGCACAACGAGGCAGGAGGGTGAGACTCCCTGGCTTTAGGAGCCTCTTTCAAGTTTTTGCTACAGTGTGAAACAAGAAGAGATGCTGGGACTCGTAGACCCAGCTGGCATCCCAATGAATACATATAACCATACAAAGGCTCTGCTGAAACAATAATCAAAGTGTGCTTAATAGAAACTGTGACCAATGGATGCACTGGCTGGGCAGGAATGTGCTCACAAAGCTGGGCGGTGGAATAAGGGTCAGAGGAAAGGCAAGGGTGGTTTCTCCAGCCCGGGGTGTTCAGCTGCCTCATGACAAGGCTGCAGCACCCACACACAGTTCAGGATGGAGGGGCCACCAAGGGCAAGCAGCACCCACCTCACACAGACCCCCTCACAGGGGCACTCCCCTCACAGCACAGGGGAGCTGGCACTGAGCGGTTCAGCCTGACCCAAGAGCTCTCATGGCCCCACGACCCTTCACAGCCCCCCCGAGCCCTCACAGCCCCATGGACCTTCATGGCCCCCTCAAAATGCTGGACCTCCTGAGCCTTCACAGCACCAGACCACTCATGGCTGCCCAGGCCCCCACAATCCCCTCACAGACCTCCAAGCCCTCACAGCCCCCAAGTCCTTACAGTCTCCCAACCCCTCAAAGCCCCATGGACCTTCATGGCCCCCTCACAACAGCTGGACCCTCTGAGCCCTCACAGCCCCCAGATCCCCCAAACCCTCACCGTTCCATCACAGACCCCCAAGCCCTCACACTCCCCTCATCTACCCCTGAATCCTTACAGATCTCCAAGCCCCCATATCGACTGGACCCCCCGAGCCCTCACGCTCCCGTCACAGCTCCCCAAGCCCTCACAGCGCCCTGAACTCTACCAGCCCCTCAAAGAGTGCCTTTCCCTCACACTTCCCCCCTCCCTCCTCCACCATGTTCCGCCCCAGCCCCTCTTCTCATCTCCCCCCTCCCAAGCGCGAGGTCGCCATGACAACGCCCGCGCGCGCGCTGCCCCGCCGCCCCTCGGGCGGGGCCGCGCGCCAGAAAGTACTGGAACGCCGCCGCAGCCCGCGCGTGCGCACATGGGGTAGCGCTGTCGCCCCCGCCTCACACACACAACGCTGCTGCGGCGCCCCCGGGGTCGGCGGGAAGCGGGACGGGGAGGGAGAGGAGAACCAATGTGGGCCCGCGAGGAACCCGCCCCTGTCCCGCAGTGAGGAGGAGCCGCCGCCTCCGCTGCGCAAAGCGCGCACACGGCGCCCGCGAAGGAGCGGCTGCGGCGGCCACCGCCCAGCGCCCGCTGCGGAGTCACTGCGACGGTTACCAGGGCACGGCCCCCGCGGCCAATCAGGCGGCGTGAGCTCATCCCCCGGGGCCGCCGGCCAATCGCCTGCGACATCAATCATTCAATTCGGCCAATGGGGAGCGCTTTCAGCGGGTGGGGCGGGCACTCGCGGGCCGCGGTTCCCCCACAGCACAGCCAACAGACAGCGGGGCGGGGCCAACGGGAGCCAACGGCTTGAGTGACAGCCACGCGGCCAACTGGATCGTCTCGCTTGTGGAGCCTCGTTATAAGCAGCCAATCGTTGCTGCGCGTGGACTCCTGGGCGGGGAAAAAGCGGCTGCGCGCGCATTCCGCTGCTATATAAGGGCTGGCGGTTGCCTCACGCAGCCAGAGTCGGTTGGGGGAAGGTTGGGGTCTGTGGCAGCGCTCGTAACAGCCGCCATCATGAGGGAGATCGTGCACCTGCAGGCCGGGCAGTGCGGCAACCAGATCGGTGCCAAGGTCCGGGCGGGGAGAAGGGGCTTCGGGGGGGAGCGAGGGAGGGGGGCGAGAGGGGCGCGGCTGGCCCGGCGCGGCCGCCCCTGACGCGCTTCTCTCCGGCAGTTCTGGGAGGTGATCAGCGACGAGCACGGCATCGACCCCACCGGCACCTACCACGGGGACAGCGACCTGCAGCTGGAGCGCATCAATGTCTACTACAACGAGGCCACAGGTAGGGCCGGGCCCCTCCCGAGCCGCCCCCCCCCCCCCCGCCCCCCCCCCCCCCCCCGGGCTCCCCGCGCCCCCCCGGCGCCGCAGTGACGGCTCTCGCTGTGTTCGCAGGCGGCAAGTACGTGCCCCGCGCCGTGCTGGTGGACCTGGAGCCCGGCACCATGGACTCGGTGCGCTCGGGGCCCTTCGGGCAGATATTCAGGCCAGACAACTTCGTGTTCGGTGAGTGCGCGGGGGCGGGAGGAGCCGCGGGGTGGGGCAGGGCCGGGCACTGCGGGGCTGCCCCGCCGCACATGCTCCGAGGGACCGGCCCCGCCGGGGCTAATCCTGGCGTGGAGCACCGGGATTGCGGCTGGGAGCAGCTCCCAGGCGGCACCAGAGGTCGTTGCTCTTTCTCATTCTTGCTGCCGCCTCCCTTGCCACACCGAGAGAAACGGAGTGGCTGCTGTATCATTGATAATTAATGTTTTGCCTGTGTCTGCCGAGCCACTGCGGAGGTGCCTGTGTGAAACCACAGCCCTTGCGCTCGATAAGATGAAAGCTTTTTCGTGGAGCCTGATGCTCTTAAGCTTTGCTTGCAAGCAATAAGCAGGAAGCAGTGACCGTAATCTAATACGAAAATGGCTCTTTTCCAGGTCAGAGCGGAGCAGGAAACAACTGGGCAAAGGGCCATTATACGGAAGGTGCTGAATTAGTCGATTCTGTGTTAGATGTTGTAAGGAAGGAGGCAGAAAGCTGCGATTGTCTGCAGGGCTTTCAGCTTACTCACTCCCTGGGTGGTGGCACAGGCTCTGGCATGGGTACCCTTCTCATCAGCAAAATCCGTGAGGAGTACCCAGACCGAATTATGAATACTTTCAGTGTGGTGCCCTCCCCTAAAGTGTCAGATACCGTGGTAGAGCCCTACAACGCCACGCTCTCGGTGCACCAGCTGGTGGAGAACACGGACGAGACGTACTGTATCGATAACGAGGCGCTGTACGACATCTGCTTCAGAACGCTGAAGTTAACGACCCCCACCTACGGGGACCTGAACCACCTCGTGTCGGCCACCATGAGCGGTGTCACCACCTGCCTGCGGTTCCCGGGCCAGCTCAACGCTGACCTGCGGAAGCTGGCGGTGAACATGGTCCCCTTCCCTCGCCTGCACTTTTTCATGCCCGGTTTTGCCCCGCTCACGAGCCGTGGGAGCCAGCAGTACCGGGCTCTCACCGTGCCAGAGCTCACCCAGCAGATGTTCGATGCCAAGAACATGATGGCAGCGTGTGACCCGCGTCACGGCCGCTATCTGACGGTGGCCGCCGTCTTTAGGGGCCGCATGTCCATGAAAGAGGTGGACGAGCAGATGCTCAACGTTCAGAACAAAAATAGCAGCTATTTTGTTGAGTGGATCCCCAATAACGTTAAGACAGCAGTCTGTGACATTCCACCTCGCGGCCTCAAAATGTCTGCCACCTTCATTGGCAACAGCACGGCCATCCAGGAGCTGTTCAAACGCATTTCTGAGCAGTTCACTGCGATGTTCCGCAGAAAGGCCTTCCTGCACTGGTACACGGGCGAGGGCATGGACGAGATGGAGTTCACAGAGGCTGAGAGCAACATGAACGACCTGGTGTCCGAGTACCAGCAGTACCAGGATGCCACGGCCGAGGAGGAGGGGGAGTTTGAGGAGGAGGCTGAGGAGGAGGCAGAGTAAAGCTATGCAGTTGAACACCTGTAAATTTTGTTTAAAGTTGTATGAACTCTCTCTCATTCAAAGGTTCTGTTTGTGTTGTGTTATTATTGCTGTTTCCGAGTCACTCCCAATGCTGTACAGGCACCATTAAAGCAGTTTTCACAGTGCAAAGCCCCGTCTCCTCTGTTCTTTCCGGTAAGCTTCCCGCGTGCCGTTCCCGTAGGTGAGCGAGTACAGGTCACGGAGGTCTGGAAAAGGAACACGGTGGATTTGGCACGAGCACCCCACGGCAACGCCCCTGCTCTGCTGCCCTCAGCCAGGTGATGTGTCACTGGTGTGGTGACAGCCCTGCTGTGGGAACTGGAGAAATTCCCTGGTATTCCCTTGTGATCAGGTACTGCTGGAGGGGGGACACACTGACACACAGGGTGGAATTGGCTCCAAGCTGTTTCTAAATTTGGGTCCCTGCCCATGGCCTGTGCAGCCTGGCAGGGCAGGGGCTGAGCAGCTGCTGGGCTGGGCACGAAGGGGCCACTGCAGGTTTGAGCTGCCTGGGCATGAAATGGTGCCAGCGAGTGCCACAGCACTGAGGGTGTCCCTGGCACCGGCTGAGCTGATCCACGGCAGCTCCTCAGCTCTACAAACCCAGCAGGGAGCTGTGTCCTGGCCCAGGAGTGCTGGGGGCAGCTGTGACAGGCTGGGTGGCACCTGCTGCTGGGGGCAGGTGACACCAGAGCTGTCCTGTGCACACAGCTCTGCTGCAGTTGCCCTTAAATCACTGTAGGGAATTTGAAATTAAATCAGGTGTTGGTGCAGCCTCTGCTTTTGGGGTGAGCTGAACACCTGACAGTGACATTGGTTTGTCTCATGGAAACCCTGTATTAACACAACACATTTTTACTGTGGAAAAAACGTGTTCAGTGTCACCTGAAGTGACAAAGCTGGACAGGAGGGAACAGGCTGCTTCCCTGCTGGAGAAATTCTGGTCAGGGTTCTAAATCATAACTGCTTTGGTTTAAAGGTTTTCTGCTTTAATTAATTTTCTCCACCCAGAGCCAGACTGGTTGGAGCAGTTAAAACTGTGCTGACTCCGGTGGCTCCTGGGGCAGGGAAGTGGGAATGTCAGACCTGCACAGAACAGGCTGTAGGGGGAAAGATGGCAACAGATCCCTAAAGCCTGAATTAACACTGAGGACTTGATTTTTGCCTTTGATTTTAGGGTGGGCTTTTCTTGCTCCCTGACTGGCAGGGTGTCCAGCTGGGCTTTTCCTGCCTGGCTTTCCCAGGTCCTGTTGCAAGTCTCACTAAAGCCACACTCACTGCCTCAGCCTCTCCATCAGCCACAGCCCAGCCCTGCCACGATGATTTTCCTGCTCTTTGCTTTCAATTCTTCCACATTTTATCTATTTTATTATTTTCCCTCTGCACTGCAGTAAGGACAAGCCATGAGTTTGGTTCTCCCTGATTTCCCACCCACATTACCGAGCTGTGACCAAACACACCAATGTATTAGTTGCTGATTTGTTGAGATTTTAGCCTGGTACTTTCCCCTTACACACAAAATCCTTCCAGACCTCTCCTTTTAGGCAGCACCAAGACCTGACAAGGCTCAGGCAGGCACATGTCCTGATGGCCAGTCCCATTTCCCACACTTTTTATGCCATCTCAACCCCTTTGTATCATCTACCTTCTGCTTTTTATCAGACTTGAGGCTTTTTAGAACAGAATCCCTTCCCTGACATGTGACCATTGGGGTGTCACTGAGTCTCTCCTGCCTCAGTAAGGGGCTGGTGGCTGGAACTGTGTCCTGGTGAGCCTGGCAGTGGGAATTCTGGGCTCTCCCACAGCAGGCACAGCTCCAGAAAAAAAAAGACTCTACTACCTGTATGGAACATTTCAGCAACTGTTCACTTCCATGCCACTCCAGCTAATAACAGCACTACTTAGCACAGTAATTAGTATCGGTGACTTTCACTTTTCACTCAGTTGATGAACTTACGTGGCACGAAGCCTGTGTAGGCAGGTTTCAGTCCACCACTGTTGTAGATTTTGGTGTCTGGCCAGTGTGTCAGGGGAAATCTCATGCCCAAGGTGAAAGGTGGATTTTTCTTCAAAAGCTGGAAAAGGAAAAAAAAACCCCACAACAACATGAAACGGTTTATTTTAAAAAGTACTATTTTTACCAAAGTCATGTGCTTTGACTCTACATTACATAAAATATTTAAGCCAACATAAAGCAACTCTCTTTCCAACCCTGCTTTTTTATAATTAAAAGCCACACTGAAAT